ACTCTTTCCTGCCTAATTCAGTTAAAAAAAAACCTCTTTTTAGGATGGAAATAAGTTCATATCAACAAAAACTGAAACATATACCAAACAAGTTTCGGCACAGACCTGCCATGAAGCTCTAATCTTCTTCTTAGAAGAGCTCTCCATAGTGATAGAATCAATGGTATTTTCGTGGGCTCGAATCCTTCTCTTCCCTTGTGATTTCTTACTCAATGCAGTTTTGATGCTCTCTTCTTCCATTTCCAATAGAATTGATTCAGATCTCATTCCAGTTGTTGGCATCATATTAGAGTCTATTTCATATTCTGAAGTCTGAATGTTTGAGCAGCAGAAATCATTAAAATTACAGATATTCTCCATAGGCCTAAAGCACATATTGGTATTGACATCTAGAGATTCATAATATGGATCAATTCCCTGATCAGACCAAATCAAAGATTGCATCAACATGCTTGGATCTTGCTCCTGCTCACTGGAGAAAGTGTAGCCACCAAGGACTTGGGCCAGCAGCTCGGACTCGTCGGGCACCATTTCTGAGCTGAATGAGCTCCAACTCGACTCCAACAGCGCTCCCACAGGCTCCATGCTTGAATTTAGCTGGACCTATAGGGGGCGGTTGTCAGAGAAGAGGAGCCATTTCAAGCAGAAGCTTATGAAGCTTATTTATATGAAATTTTCATATACAGCCCTGCATTAAGAAAATGTCTTCACTCATCTCATCATTGCTACAACTCAGCAAGTTGCTGACTTGATATCAAAATGCAAAATCTTTTGTGTTGTGGTAATAAAAAAATTGAAACTTTGAAGATTTTGATGAGATTATTGTATTCAAATAAAGCCTCTGATGTTAATTAGTGGATCAGAAACATAAAAAAAGATTAAATTAAGTTTAGAACTCTGGCAATTGGAAGAACGTGGGGAGGATATAATTTAGAAGGAATTGTTTTTAGAATGAATAAATAAAGAGGAGTGAGGGATGAGGGGGGCCATGATCGTGGAGAAAGGTTCTGAAATTCTCAAGTCCATAAACTTAATGATGACAGCAAATCTGCTAAGGTTAAATCACTGTCGCCTGTTAGGATATACTTACCAACTCTTTGTTTGCTCCTGTCTTGTTATTTATTGAAATTTTCCTTGATAAAAAAATGTCTCAGTTTCGATTATTAGAGAGCTGTTATCAGTTTAAAATGCTGATAACCATTCGACTTATCTGATGATGAGAAGAAAAAAATTGAAATTTATCTTAATTTAGTCCATAGATTTTTTTTTTAGAAGAGGTTTAGTACCACTCAAAAAGCTGTTTGGTTTAGTCTAAGATAGGTGACAGTTAACAATGTTTTGTCTATCTAATTGATGAGATATACTTAGTTTACAACAGTTTTGAAGATGTTTTGAAGATGTTGGATTAAGATTTGTCTGTGGGCACACCTCTTATTACTAGATCACTCGAGATGAGTGGAGAGAGAGATATAGGGAAAGTTAGTCTACTTGAGAAAAATATCTTGTTTATTTCTCAATTTTTGGAGAAAATATTCCGTCACGGCCAACCACCGGCCGCCCGTCATCATACATGTCATTGGCTGACGACATGTTTGTCGATGGTCGGTCATTCAGTCATGCGGACGTCCGGACCGAATATTTTTCCCATCTTTTGACACTCTTATCTATAGATTTTGGGGTGAAATTTATTACAATACATGATTGAAAATAATTTATTAATAAAAAATTTATTGAAGAATATGATATTGTGGCATCTTCTATAATTGTATGAAATGTGAAGCCTGATGCCAAGTTCTGACCAGGTAGGCTTAATACTTAGCCTTATATTTTGTCAGTTTAGGTTTAGGTTTGATTTGTTTTAGATTTAGGTTTAGTTTATGTTAGTGTGTGTGTTTTGGTTTAGTTTATTTTTAGTTTGGATTTTATGTTTAGTTTGGTTGATTAAATAAACTTAGTTCATGTTTGATTTCATGTTGTTTTAAATTTGGATTAAGTGGTTTTGTTCTGAGCTTGTTTTATTATTTCAATGTATGTTTAGATTTTTTTAAGAATTTATTTAAGCTGAATAAGAGTTTTTATAAGTTTAATTAGGAGCTTGTTTTCGGTTTGGTTAAGGTTTGTATAGGTCTTATTAATTCTTATTTTATGTTATGTTTTGTAGGTTTAGTTAAGATTAGTTTAGGTTTTTTTTTTAGCTTAGAGAGTATTTTAGCTTGGATTTTTTTAAACTTGATGTTTGTGTTAGTTAAATTTGTTTCGATGATGAGTTAAATTCAATTTTGATTTAAAATTTTAATCACAAATTTTACCAAATTTCATTTTCATTTAAAATTCTAATACCAAATTTTACCAAATTTCATTTTAATTAATCAATTCCCTCATTTTGATTTGATTTAAAACCCAACCATGGTTTGAGATGATCTTCAAAAATGTTTGAGCTCATCTTGAACCAAAAGGGTGAGTTGAAAAAAGGAAAGGAAATGAAAGGTTAGGCTTGATTGGGTGGGTACTCAAGGGTTTCTTTGAGTTGACTAAGTCAAGAGGTTACCTATCCAACCTAGTTTATAGGGTGAGCCAAGAGACCCAAGGGCGCCTAAGGCATGAAGTTAGGTCCCTTGACCCAAAGAGCCCCCTGAAAGTAGAACCTAAAGAGCATTCTACCCTTGGTCTTCAATAACCTAACCAATGATTAGCATAAGATTAAAAGCTATGTGTTAAGAATCAAGTCATATGCATTTCAAAATAAAGGGAGCAATGATTTAGATTTTAAAAAGAAAATGTCCATCAATTTGTCCTCTATGGTAGCCACTATGAAGTTGATAGTGCTAGATATTAAGCTCTAAGGATGAGTTGGAAAGGGAGATACAATAGATGTTGGGTCAACAGAATTATATGTTAATATTTATATAAGCATATACTTTATTAATAGATGCCTCATTATGTTTATTATAATAGAATTCAAAGTTATTTTTGTCTTTCTATTATTTTATAAATAATTTTTTTACCAATTGAAGGATATAACTTGAAACTCTATAACTTTAATTTTTAAAATTCATTCGTTAAGTAAATTTTATGAATCTTTTATAAGCCTAAATAATGAATTTTCTTTAATGTAATGCACTATGAATTCTAATTAATTATTTTTTTTTCTTATTTTTTATGCACATTGTATGTATGGAAATAAGAGGTTATTTGTTTACTTAAAATTTCATAATCAATTTACTCATCTTAGTGCGAGCTGATTTTAAGAGAAATTTGATTTCTTTTGTATAAACTATTTTTAACAAAATATTTTTGACATAATGAGGTATTTTATGAAAATTTTTCCACAACATTTAGAGCTCTGAATTTCAAGATATAAAATGATTTGTATTATTTTTATACATTAAACTAAATAATTTGCATAATTACAAAATTACATTTAATTAGTTTTTCTTATATATATATATTATATATATATATATATATCATAATCTCCCTTGGAGAATCCTCTTATCAATGCTTTTCATTATTTCTCCTAAACTTAGAAAAAAATGTTTAAGAGAAAGGAGAGAAAGTGAGGAGTGAGGAAGCAAAACCTAGCTTTTAGAGGTCACAATGTTGTTTTAGTCCAGCATTCAAGTTAAGAAAATTAAGTATTGTTTTAAGGTAGGATATTAATATTGCATGCACTATGTAAATCTCATTTTCTATGTTGGCATGTAAATTTTATATTCACTATAACTTTTATGATTAGATAAATACTATGAAAAATATAATTTGATAAATATGCTATGATTACTGTGAAATATGATACATAAGAAAGGCTGACAACTATGATTCAAATTGGTAGACTTATGATGTCTTGTGCAAGAGGGTGAGTTAATGAATTTTTTCCTAAATATAGATTAGAGGCGTGAAATCAATATATGATGAATAATATAAGCTTGAACTATAATATAATATAAGTGTTGAGGGGTTTGAGGAAATGACTTCCATGTAATATACCACCTAGCTGTTTTTATTGATATGATATGATATGACATGATCTATACAAGACTTGTTATTATTGGTACATAAAAATGCACTCTATGATGTTATATTTTATCTTTCCTTGTCAGTAGATAGTTCATGAAATGTTATTCTTGAGGATATATAGTATGTACACCATTATTATTAAGATATGACATCTCATAATTTGATTATAATCTATATTTTAAATAACGCATATACTCAGAACCTTCTTTTTTTCTTTTGAAGGATGGTTGACGAACGGAACCACCAACCACTCTCGGCTCGCAACCCATCGGGTCTAAGTTGGACCCATGCGCCTGACCGCTAGAGTATCACCCCCATATAGCAGAAATCTTGTCTGGGGGGATTCAAACTCCAATCCAGAGGAGACTTACACCGCCGAAATGGATGCTCTACGAACTGAGCTGGCAATGCGACGCATATACATATTTAGATGTAGTGACATATATATTCACTTATTTAGCATGTATGAAATCTTCATGATGCAATCATAAATATTTTTTCTTAACCATGCATTGAATGCAATTATATATTTCATATAATCTACTAAATGTTTTGCTCACTCCCATTATATTTACATATTTTTAAGGAAGGTTGTAGTGTATTTTGTTGGAGCCATTCAAGCACCATATCAATGTGCATTCCCACATATCAAGTGAATATCTTCAATTTTTTTTAAATATTTTTACAAATATCACTTTAAAGATAATTTATGAAAAATTATAGCTAAAATTAAAAATTCTAAAAAAAATATTTAATGATGTTCAATGTTAGATATTTAAAGTTAGGGAAAAATCAAATTAAGCGTTAATTAATTACAAATGTCAAAATATAAACTATTTTTTCTTTAAAATAATATTTAAAAATTGAAATTTTTATAATAGGATATTCATACATCCAATGCATATTATATTATAAATATATGCTTGTGCATGTGAGATAAACATTCCCCAAAAATGTTTATTAAGTTTTATAGGGATGCTTTGTTCAAATCCAAGAGCCCACAGAAGGTGGAGCCCGCTAGCAAGTTATGAGCATTTATTTAAAGCCCGAGTCAATTATTGGATTTATTTCTCTTATTTTTATCGGAAAATAATCTCCTGAGATACAAGAGAATCATACAACTAAATATGTATAATTAAAAGCACCTATTATGATTGATAGGGGCCGAATAACGCTCGACCCATCTAATAAGACCAGAAGCTACTACATATAGATTAGCAAAGACCGAAGAGCTGTCGATCTGTACTTTCAACAAAGCTAGCCGAGGGGATGAATCCATAAGAGAACTACAAAAGAGTCAACCCAGAGCGACATGCAATCAAATAAAAGCCAACAAAGCACTCGTCGGCAAAGTACTAGAGGTCGAATATAATGATCGCCGAAGGAAAAGAACCTCCCCCCATTTAGCAAAAGAGTCAACTAAAAAGAGGACATCTCCAAAACCCCAACTTTTATGAGGATATGACCATTAAAGATAACTATATGTTTCTAAAAATCTAAGAGTTATATAGGCATAAGTAGTCATTTTATGAAAGCTAAATTCCTTATAAATAGGGGTATTAAATGTA